GGCCTGAACAAACTGAATTTAATATATGCTAGCTAGATAAACAGTAACATTTAGCAAACATTTTTGAGTGACCCTGAATATAATTCAAACCATTTACTCATTAGTCATATACTGTGCTATTCAGCCTATTACTTGATGTGGGGCTATCCTCGTCTGTAATCTGGTAACACGTTATCGAGCCAACGCAAAATTAGCTATAGTAGCCTTTATCTAGTGATAGTTAAATAATCGTGAAATATGCTTATAAAAATATAAGGGAAGTGACAACCAAAAGAATGTTTTACAAGTGCGAAGAATCCAGATGAAAGCGAGAAAACGCAGAAAGATAATTTTGTTTGAAAGTAGTGTCGATGTGCTACAAAAGGGCTCAGATGGATTGAAGCGAAACCAAAACGTCCTTACGTTAAAATTCTGTCCACCTCTAAAAGTTATGAGAATATGAAATTCAGTCAGGTGGATGGATAATAGGCCTCTAGCTTTGGTGGAAGGATAAGATGGAAAAATTTCGAAATATCCCAGCATAAGGCAAAAAACTGGAAAGTAAGAACCAGAAATCGTGTTACCCTTAAAATGAACGAGTTAGAATCAGTCATAAATATGGTAAATAATCATCCTATTCCCCTTAAGGTGATAAAATCTCGTAAACCTGCTGATAAACGAGAAATTGTATCGTTAATGGCTTTTATTCAAACAATACCAGTTTCTATGTAGAAAAACTGGGTTTCAAGCATGAATGTCGGTTTTTAATTCTTTTTAAGTTTACTATTCTTCACTGAAGAAACCTTAACTATCTCCTAATAAAATAATAATAAAAATATATAATACCAATAAGGTTTTGCATAGACATTCTAGAGGCAATGATGTATGAATCACCAGTGGTACCAGAAAAAATTCAAAAGACCTAACTAATCATCCTTCGCTCAATGTTTGAATGAAAGGCTCTTTCCTTAGGAATGCTCTATGAGACTGTCTGCTATCAGGGAAACGAAATAGAAAGCAAGACAATAAAATTAACCACTAACCCACCGGCTTTTGTATCTTCGGCCAGTTGGCAAAACTGGCACATCTGGCGCTGATACTAGCAAGCCTTTCTGTGCAGCACAATTGGAAACTGACATTGTGCACGCCAGAGTCAAACCAGATGGAGCGTTGGTGTTCTTGTCATCTTCGGGCGTTAAGGGATCTATCGTCTCTAACCGGTTATCGCTATCATCAACAAATTGCCTTTCAACCAAGGGAGGACTCAAATCCGGCCCAGTAATATTAGTCTCTTGGAAGTGTGTCATTTCCTCGAGCCTAAGTCTCTTCAAAGCAGGTTCCTCCTCCAGAGATGAGATGGCATTGGCCGTTACGCCAAGTGTACGTGAATCCAAATCAAACGCAATTTCTGGTTGACTAGATATCGGGACATCCGTCTCACAAACAGAGTCCTGGGTGGCGATGATAGTAGATAAGCTAATGAGCCCATCAGGATTAGAGTGGGAAGAGTTAGATAGCACATAAGTTGGAGACCATGCAGGGTTGGTGGAATCCACATGCACACAAGAGTCAGAAGTAGAGACTGATACAGGAAAAATCTGAGGCGGGCTTGAAGCAAGCAGGTCAAGAGAGGTAGATCGAGCCTCATGAGATTCTAGCAGTTCAGAAAATGAGGAATAGGATGGAAAAAATGAAGACTGTGAGGGAAGGGCAAACGGCTGGCTCGTAAGACCGAGTTTACTGTGGCCAGAATCGGAGGCATCAGACGTAAGGAGGGGTGAGAAAGACACGCCAGACGGCTTATATGAAGCAACGGCTCTGGAAGGAGGTAATTGAAGGCCGGTATGGAGTCTAGCCCCCATGGCTAGGGCGAGGCGACCAGCTAGACAGTGTGAGGGTGGGCGACGAGATGGTGTCAAACCAGATAGCGTAAGATGGCAGTCTGGGCCAAGCACTCGACTGCGAAGACGACACATCACATTAGCCAAGTGAGGAATGTCGGGCTGCCTGAATATAGGAATAAGATATAGAGATAATTGGATAAGAATCAGGTAAAGTGAAAAATGGAAATAGGTACAAGAATAAGGATGCAGATAAATAAATAAATTTTAAAAATATGTACGCGCCAATATTTTCAGTGATTCGATGAGATGAATGCGTTGTGAAAAAAATACTTTATTTTGAGCGAAGCATTATGCTGTACCGATGTAGATAATAGTGTTTATTTCGAGTTTCGACCACCATAAACTCCAAGTAGACAGTCACAAAAGGGACTTTGAGGGAACAAATTTGTTGTTTTTTAGCTCGATACAAGCATGTGTAGAAAAATATTTTTTTAGGTGAATTTTTGCGACTGCATCAGAAAGATACATAGGTAGATAAGGGATGGATAAAGATACAGCCGTATAAAAGTGTTTGGTTACATTAGTAACACTTTGAGCAT